AAAATTAAAATCCCAAATAACAAACCACCACCACCCCCGCCAGAGCATGTGCACTCACCAGAGAGAGAGAGACAGTGAGAGGGAAAGTGAGAAATCATCCCTGGGGAGTTGGCCATTCCGCAATCCCTTCACCTCCATTCTCCTCCTGGGATTCTGGGCACACACATCTGGTGTGATTTTCAAGCACCAGATCAGGGACTCAAACTGTGGTCAGCCATGTGGGAGTCCAGAGCCTTAACCACTACACCACCTGCTGGGCCCCTAATGAACTTTTTAAAACCACCCATGCCCACTCCACAAACTCATCCATCAAACCTTGAGCATCTCTGGGAGAGCCCATGAAGCACACGCAAAGGGAAAGGGTGCGCCTGTAAAGTACAGAAAATCTTAAAACAGTGCTGTGTTAAAAATATAGTTTGACTGACATTTTTGTTTAATATCTTTTTTCAATGAAAAGGAATTGTTTTAAAAGGTAAATATTATTGTTAAAATCAAAGTAGAAAATTTTTATCTTTTAAACTGCATTATGGATATTGTACAACTTGTGACGCTAAGGGCAATTTGTCTCCTAACCAGATAGTATGTATCTTTTAAACTAAACTGTTTTATGAACATTCAAATTGTGTACTTTGTTGGAAAACCACTGTTTATATATGCTATAAATTGCCCATGCAAAGTCTAACTTTATGGTGCAGAACAATGATGTCTTTGTTTATTATAATTAAGTGAAGCAATTGGACCTTTTGTCTTTAATATTAACTTCAGCTGTACCCATTAAAATATTTTGAGTCTCTTCATTTTTATTATGTAATTCAACATTTTTTTACTTCCCTAAAAACAACAAAGTTATACACAAATAGAAGGAATCATGTGAATCGTGACAATAAGCAAGTTAGACCAGAATCAGTAGCTATTGTAAAATAGTGCCTTCTCTTCTTAACTATGCACATGGCATTCTCAAGGAACAGATGACAGACACTATGTCAGAGTTTCCGAGTTGGAGGAAATTGAGGTTTTTACTGATGAAATATAATGTGTAAAAATTAAGTACATCAGGGGCCAGCTGATAGTGTGATGGTTAAGGCAATGGATCATACATGGCCAACTGCATAGTTCGACTTGAATACATGCCAGGTGCATTTGTGTGCCTGCCCAAAGTCCCAGGAGGAGAAAAGGAGAAGAAGAGACTGTGGTATGACCACACCCCGGGGGGCTACTTTCTCACACTCCCCTTCTGTCTCTCCAGTGAGTGCACATGCCCTGTAGCAAATTAAAAAAAAAAAAAATTACACCAGCAAGAACTTTACCAGCTACATCAGAAAAAAAATTAACTGAAAATCTAAGATTTTATCTTACTTTAAAATTAATTATGATTTGTCTAGAACTGAAACTTAAGGTTGAATATCATGATTTTCAGAGCTCCAGTTAATTGGCTTTTTTTTTTTTCCTTAGAGACAGATTTTTGCTATAGGGTGTGTGTGCTTCCCAGAGAGAAAGAGAGAGACAGAGAAACAGAAAGCAAGAAATCACCCCCTAGGGGGATGGCCATGCAGCAATGCCTTCTCCTTTCTCCTGTAAGCTCACATACTTGGTTAATGTGAAGTAGAATATTTTCATGCATGTTTAGTTTAGTTTAGTTTAGTTTTTTTTTTAACAGATTTTTGCTATAGGGTGCTCGTGTTTGCTGGAGACACAGAGAGAGACAGAAAGACAGTGAGACATCACTCCCCCATGAGGGATGGCCATGCCACAGTTCGTTTTCCTCCATGCTCCTCTTGGGATTTTGGGCATGCATGCACATGCACCCGCATTGAGTTTCAAGTCACCAGGTCTGGCTCCGATCACTGTCGGCCATGTGGGAATCCAGCGATAAAATCATTATGCCATCTGCTGTTCCCAAGCATATTTAATGTTAATGATTACATAGTTAAATACAAGGAAACTCAACGGTTATGACATAAATTCACTATTTTTCTCTACCTGGTTAAGACTTAAAATGAATTTGTCCTTTGGACTTTTTGCTTTTATTGACCTTAGTGTAATGAAAAATGACATTTATGAGTTCTTTAACATTTGTTTCTCTTTTAAAAATCCTTTCTTAGTTATGGGTGACTTCAAAGTAACTAGTTTAGTACTACAACCTAGGTCTTCTGTAGGAGTGACAAGGATTTTGTTTCTCTTTCTATGCAAGATTTGGAAGCAGACAGATTTGGTTCAAAACTAAGATTTTGTTTGAACTTTTTAGGGGACGATGGTTTAGTAAATGCAGAAATTATGCAGTAAGAGTCATGAAGTAATCTTTGCCATTGGAACCAAGAAAGCTTAAGAAAAATGATTAATCATTTCCATTTTTTTTTTTAACTTTCGTGAGTTTCTCATCAATTAAAATGTTCTGGTTCGAAGCATTACAAGGATAACATTCGAGGACCCAGACTTGATTAAAAAGCTTTCATATTGGGACCAGCAGATGGTGTAGCAGTTACATTGCTGGACTCCCACATGACAGACCCCACGGTCCCAGTCCCTGACTCGAAAATTATGCCAGGCACATGTGCATGGCCATCCCTATTGGGGCTTATTTCTCACTTTCTCTCTCACTGTCTCTGTCTGTCTCTCTCTTTGTGGCAAGCACATGCTCCCTAAGGTAAAAACCTTTTTAAAAAAATAAGTTTTCATATTTTGAGGTTCATACTTGAGCCTTGAGACTTGGAAATAGTTTATCTAAGTCATTTTTAAAATTTTCTGTTCAAACTGGGTCTTCTTGAATAAACAGGCTATAGAATAGTGTTTCTCAATATTGGGCAGTACATTAGAAAAAGCTGTAAAAATTTAACTGTGTCTGCATCTTAAATGATTGGGGAGCAGGGCCAGGTATATGTAGTATGTATGAGTATCCAAAGTGATTCTGATGCACTGCCATGTTGGAGAAGCATTGAACATTTTTTTGTTTTTCCTTCTTTTTTACTTTATAACTAATTGAAATGCCCTTGGTAGAAAGAAGTTTATTCTTAGTATTAAAATAACTGTGAAACACTCCAATGAAAGTTGTCAAAACATTCTTCAAAGAGAGTGAGTTTTTTTCGTTCAAAAGCAAATTGCTTTTTATCAATAGAACATGGCTTGGGTGATAAGCTTGGGTAAATCATTTAACATCTTTGGACCTGCTTTCTGTCCTATAAAATAAGGAAGCAGAACCAAAAAGCAATTTCTATTAACTTTTTTATACCCTATTTTTTATAACAGAAGTGAATTTTTAAAATTTAAAAACCTTTGGCAATTGCAATCTGTTGGATGTCTATTTGTTTTTGTATTATGGTATTATGTTCCTGTTCAACTTTCCAAGCTTAGCAATTCAGATTGTCGTGTTGATATTAGGTATCACTGGGGAATCTAGCGCAGTGCCTTGGTAGGTGATAAAGACCAAATAAATCCTTTACTCAAATCTCCACGATTCTAGTTGTTTGTTGTTTTTTTTTTTAATTTTGTGATTAAATCTTTGACACAGTTTTAAAAATGAAAACTTCGGGACCAGCAGTTGGCATAATGGCTATGTCACTGGACTCCCATGTAATTGACCATGGTTCAAGTCCTGGACCCGGTGGCTTAAACTCACGCTGGGTGCGTGTGTGTGCGTGCCCAAGATCCCGAGAAGAGAATGGAGGAGAAGGGATTGCGGCATGGCCATCCTCTCTGGGGGGGTCATTTCTCACTTTCTGTCTCTCTGTCTCTGTCTTTCTGGTGAGAGTACATGCCCTATAGCAAAAACTTCTCTAAAAAAAAATGAAAACTTTCTAACTAAGTTTTACATCAAGTTCTTAGGGAAATGTAAAATTAGAACAGATGGTGTAATGTGCATGATATGCATTTATTTCATAGTTTATGCATATTATCTAATTCTTTCCTCTTAAGGTAGGTATATATGATATCACAGTTTCCTGGAGAAATTAGTTGATAATGTATATGTTGTCATTATTGCAAATTTAAGTGATATTTGCTAGACCTGGTGGAGCTTCTTCACTAGCTGAAATGTGATCTTAAGCTTAATAGTAAAAATATGTATACGTTTTCATTCCAAAGACCATGAACTTACGAATAAACAAATATAAACAGTTTTGACTTAGTATGCTCTTAACAAGTTAAATATGTAAATTTAGAATGAGAAGCAAAATTCCAAGTGCTAGACTATCAGCATTCATCTGTAAGACTTTGGGGCACAGACTATACATACTAAGTGGTTTTGATTTTTTTTTTTTAAGAGAAATTTTTTGCTACAGGGTGCATGCACTCACCTGAGAGACAGGGGAGTGACCACACCACAGTCCTGTCTCCTTCATTCACCTCTTGGGATTTTGGGCACACACACACATGCGCCTGGCATGAGTTTCAAGCTGCCGGGTCTGGGACTCAAACCATGGTCGGCTATATAGTTGGCCATTACACCATCTGCTGGTGCTTGTTTGTTTGTTTGTTTTTAATTAAAATTCTTTGGTACTGTTTGCAAGTATCTTCAGATTTTGAGTTGCTAATTTTTATAATAATTCTGAGTTTTAGTATTATACGTCACAAAACTAAGATGGTACCCTTGAATTTTTTTAAAAGAACATCAAAAGTAGTATTCATCATGTTTTTATTATACTTAAGACTTTATATTTTAGGATAATGTAATTTAGGTGCATGTTTGAATAGTTAAGATGGATGTATAGATGCACATGTGAAATATGATTAATAAAGTCTGTTTTTGCTTTTAAACAAAATTTTATTTCTCCCTTAAATGTGAAAACTACCTGTATCTATAATAACAATCTTTCTAGTCTCTTTGTCTCTTTCTCTTCCACTTCACCCCTGACATGTAAAGAATACTTAGCCGAGTGACATTAAGATGGTTTATGTTATTTTAAATACTTGAATTCTTTGAAGCACCTCATCGAGTGGCATATAACAATTTTAACAATGTCCAGCATCAAACATTTTAGGAAAGGAAAGAACAGTAGCACATCCAGTGGCAACTCATGGCATATCAGGAAGCAGAAGGTAATTATTAACTTAGAATGTTTTAAGTTTAAATAATGTATAGTGTTGACAAGCCTTGGTGCTCTGGAGCCTGAAGCAAATAAGACTCAGGTGGTTCTTGAAAGCCGGCGTGGAGACATGGCTCAAGACTGGAATTACTGGTGTGGTGCTTTAACACACGGTTTTAGGGTTAGGGCTGGGGAGGATAGCCCCAGAATCAAGTGCAGGATAGAAAAGGAAGACCTATTAACATCCTAACAGAGAGATCTCTTTTACACCTACTACTGCTAGTGTCAGTTGTACAGGTCTTTCTACAGGTAGAAGAGATGTACGATGAAACCTGTTGGTTACTGTAGAGTTGAGTCTGACAAGTAGCTTGAAAGTAAAGAGACAATTCATTAGATGGGCTCTTCGTCAAGGTCTTAGCAAGCAGAGCAGACCGTACCACAGAAACCAAATAGCTTCACTTTTATTAAAAGACTGTTTCCTCTCACCACATCCTCTCCTTGGTGGAGGATGGCGTTCTCCTTTTCATCTAGTAAATTCTTAACTAGTTTAATTACGCCTCTTATGGCTTTATTTACGGCTACTTAGTAAAAGACGATGTAGGAATGTAATGTACATGGTACTGCTTGTTTAAAGTCTTACTGTCCCTACTGTTGTACCTTGCTCCTTTTCCAACTCTCACTTATTCAAACTCATTGCTGTGAAGTAACACTCTGTTATCTTAAACAAACTCCAAATTTAAATTTTTGAATGGATGTTTACTCAATTAGTGAAAAGGAAATACGTTAAAGGCAAGTACCATTATAGAATTCTTGGCTAATTGGGGGAGGGCAAAACCATATGAATATAAGACATTTCTTGATCTAAGAGGTTGATATTAAAGGCATTCTCTTGAAAACACCACTTTATTTCAAGTATGGAAAAGTTGTAACTTTTTACACTGACAAATTTTGAAATATCTATTTGTATGCATTTGCAGAAATGTTTCCTAAGTTTACTGGAGTAAAACAGAACACTTCTCCTAAAGACAATGTAGAGGTAATTAATACTTTACTTGCATCTTATAATTTAAGAAGTATGTATGTTATAACTCACTGGTATAATAGTAGCTTTCTTTAATACTGCTTTTAGTTTTTCTAAAGAAGATTGAATCGAAAAACTAAGTGACTTCATTTTGGTAATAAAAACATAGCAGTTGTTTAAGTCAAACAGATAAGTGGAACAAATTCCGGAAGCTTCAGCTCAGCTTTGAGAATCTATAGAATCTTGGTGTCTTCAGTGTGTACACAGTAGGGTGCACATATATGCACGGTAAGGTGAAATTTCTCAAAACCTGGTACAGATTGAGCATCTCGAATCTGAAAATTCAAAGTGCTCCCAAACCTGGAATGTTTTGAGTATATACAAGTTGAAAATTCCACCTCTGACTTTGTGTGAGAGGTCACAGTCAAAATGCTGAAAAAGCAAAAATGTATAAATTTACCTTCACTGTGTGTAGAAGGTGTATATGAAACATCAGTGAATTTCTTTCTTTTTTTCTTTTTTAAAAATTTTGCGCCTGGGCTTACCAGAGAGATACAAAGAGAGAGAGGAAAATGAGAAAGCACTTGCCATGGGGCACGGTCATACCGCAATAATTTCTTCTCTATCTTTCTCTCCTTTCAGGATTTTGGATATGCACACACATGCACCCGTTGTGTTTTTTAAGCCACCACATTCCGGACTTGAACCACCACTTTGGCATGTGAGATCCAGCTGCCTTAACTACCAGGCCACTGCTGGCCCAAATAAAAATGAATTTTATATTTAGACTTGGGTCTCATACCCTAGATATCTCATATATGCAAATATTCTAAAATCAGAAATACTCGATCACTAACATTTTTAAAAATGATTTATTTATTTTACTTCATTTTATTTGTTATTATTGTTTATTTTTAATTTTCCTACAGCGAGAAAAGGAAAATGAGAAAGCAAGCTGCCAGGTTCAGGACTTGAACATTGGTCATCCATATGGGAGTCCAACACCTTAACCACATGCCCCCTGCCAGCCCTTGATAATAAACATTTCTAAGGGCTTCTCAACCTGTAGTAGGAGAATGATAATGATATCCTTTGAAAAAGACAAAAGTAATTTTATTATATTTACTAATTAAGTTGCTATCTTTTTTTTTTTTGAGAGATTTTCGCTATAGGGCCTGTGCGCTCACCAGACAGACATGAGAGAGACATAGAGATAGAAAGCGAGAAATCACCCCCCAGGGGGGATGGTCACACCGCAATCCCTTCTCCTCCATTCTCCTCTCGGGATCTTGGGCACGCACGCACACGCGCCCGGTGTGAGTTGTAAGCCACTGGGTCTGGGACGTGAACCACGGTCGACTACGTGGGAGTCCAGCGACATAGCCATTACGCCAACTGCTGGTTCCCAAATTAAGTTGTTATCTTCATATAATTTTTTTTTTTATCTTTTGTACTGATTCCAGATAAAGAATTACAGTAAATTTAACATCTAACTATATTGTAGAAATAACAACAAATAATACTGTCATGAAAGAGCTCTACATTGTGAAAAGGAATATAATCACACAGTTGTGAGATTATATTATTAATGCTGTAAAATTCTATATTTAAGTTTTTTAAAAAAGAAAGAATATATAGTTCCTGAAGGAAGGATAGACTTCATAGGAGAGGTCATGGGTAATAGAGGCCAGCCCGTGGGTGGTGGTGAAGGTGGATGGATACCGCATGGCTGACTACGTGGGTCAAGTCCCATACCCAGTAGCTTGAAAAAAACACCAGGTGCAGGCATATACCTGCCCCAAAACCCCAAAGAGGGAAGAGATGGAGGAGGAGGAACTGTGACCTTTAGCGTGCCCCATTAGAGATACTTTCTCGCTTTTTATCTCTCTTTCTCTCCAGCATGCCCTCTGGCAAATAAAAATGGGGGGAGTGTAAAGGACAGGACAAGAAATGATTAGTATATTAACATACAGATTAGAGCCTTATTTTTTAAATAGAGTCATTAGAATGCAGAATTGAAAAGAGCACATCAGGTATGCTGGGGAAATGTAGCAGCAGTAGGGTATTAGTAAGGGACTAGTCTTAGGGAATATAATAGGGTTGGTACACCAAAAGGAAGTGTTAATGTTTAATTTGTAGTCAGGAATGAGTTCTCAACTAGCTCTTCTCCCTCATCCTTTAAAAAAGATATGTATTAATTTATAGGTTCATGAATTAATGCATGTAGTTGTATAGTTTTGGAAAGTGATTTTTACTGATTTAAACCTGAGCATTAGGCTTGGATCTACATTTTTGTTAGGGTAGACATTGTGATGGCATTCATTTCATTCAGGCTAGCATAAGTGTTAATTTGTATACGTCCCTGATTTACCCACTCACCTCTCAATCTTTTGGAAAAAAATGGTATTACGTATCTCTGTACTGTCTACAACTCAAAGCTTAGTAGATAACGAGGCTTTGGTACTATAACTTAGCTTGCCACTGACTAGGCACGAGATTTTAGGTAAGTTGCTTCTATTATTTCTAGGTCTTATTGGAAATAGTAAGCGGAAATACTAATTACACCTAATTTGGTATTATAAGAATTAAAAACCTTTATTAAGGACTAAGTCTGGTGCCTCACACGTAATAAACATTAGTATTGGTTGTTTTTACATTACAGCTTTTACTTAATAACTATCTGAATACTGAATAAATAATTAACTGAATACTGAATTAGAATTTGTTCATAGTCTTATGGGTCAACCATCATGTAATGTTGAATTTCTCTCCTATAATTGTAGGAGAGAAATGTAATGTAATTTCCCTCCTATTGTCTGTAATTAGTAAGAAATAAAATTTTTAAGTGGATAAGTCTCTAAATTGGTTTAAAAGCTCAGCTTTGATTTTCAGTGGCTCACCCTAGGAAATCTTTTGAAAATGAGTAGCACAGTTGAGTAGTATACCTGTAAATCTTTGTGTGTTTTAATAAGAGCATAGACTTTGAATACTTTGAATAACTCTACCTCTTACAAGTTATATGATAACTCAGTTATTTTGTCTTTTTAACCTTTCCTGGTTTGTAAGATAGGGATGATTATACCTTAAAGGTTTGTGTGACTTAATATTGTATTCAAAGGTTAATAGTAAATATTCTTGCCTCTTGTGTTTTTTTTTTCTCTTGAATACTTCTCTTCTTAAAATTCTGAAAGGTAACTTTTGTCTTAGCAGATACAATCTTCTGTACAAGACACACCCTCTGCTACAACTACCCTTGTTCACCAGATCACACATTTATGTGAAATGCCACCAAATCATCACCAGTTAACAGTTAATTATCAAGAATTAGGACATTTTCAGCCTGTGAGAAACATCTCACCTTCACAATTTCTTCATCCCTCAGGTAAGAAATTAACAAGTCAACAGCTGCTGGAGAAACTGACTTCCAAACTTAAATATGAAAATGTGAAGGTCATTCTAAATGTTGTATATCTCGGAAATACTGGAATCATAACTAGTAAATTCCAGGTTAGAAAGAATCACTGAAGATATTGTTAGAAATTATATGCTTTATAACAATAACCATTCATTACATTTGAAAGAAAGAATGATATATACAGTTCACATCAAGTTTAATTTCCTATAAATTGCATACACTGGCCTGAAGGCTATATAAAAACCTGTCTGAGGACCAGCAGATGGTGTAATCGTTATGTCTCTGGACTCTGGTGTAGTCAACCACCATTAGAGTCCCAGACATAACAGCTTAAAACTCATACCAGGTGCGTGTGTGTGCATGCCCAAAATGCTGAGAGGATAATGGAGGAAAAGGAATTGCAGCATGGCCAGCCCCCAGAAAGTGATTTCTTGCTTTCTGTCTCTCTTTGTCTCTCTGGCGAGCACATGTAATCGACCATGGTTCGAATCCCGGACCCGGTGGCTTAAACTCACGCCGGGCGCGTGTGTGTGTGTGTGTGTGTGTACCCAAGATCCCAAGAAGGGATTGCAGCGTGGCCATCCCCCCGGGGGGTGATCTCTTGCTTTCTGTCTCTCTGTCTCTTACTGGTGAGTGCACACGCCCTATAGCAAAAACCTCTCCCAAAAAAGAAAGAAAGAAAGAAAGAAAGAAAAAGATATACAGAGATCCTGTAGGTAGATAAAGGAAGTTATGTGTATCAAAAGTAGTTTACATTTAAGGAAATCTGAGCTAGAAATACTTGCCTAATAGTAGTTTACTATTTACCAAAAACATTTCCCAAAATTGGCTACATTCTTTTATTGTTAAATTCATATGACCTTATAAATACCTCACCTGTCTTATCAGCAATGGACCGGTAGATGGCGTTAGGGTTACATTGCTGGACTCCCACTTACTTAGTTGACTGTGGTTCGAGTCCTGGACCTGGCATCTTGAAACTCATGCCAGGCCTGTGTGTTCAAAATCCTTAGAGGAGAATGAAGGAGAAGGGATTACAGCATGGCCATTTCCCCCCCCCACCCCCGACCCGGGGGGTGATTTTTCACTTTCTGTCTTTTTTCCTCCTGGGAGCTCACACGCCCTATAGCAAAAATCTCTCTAAAAAAAAGGAAAAAAGAGAAATGAAACCATTGCCCGCTTCTACTCGGTTCTCTCAGTCATAGTGCATGGAGATATGTGGGGCACAAAGAATGTTTCTCTGATGTTGGTAAGCCCATCTGCAGAATGCTGGGACCTTATCCTGTCCATGTCTCCTTCCCTCGAGACCTGTTTCTCCTTGGTCTTCCAAGGGCAGAGGTATCACATAAGCAGAAGAGATTTCTAAGTTGTTTTGTTGTAACACGGATTAGGAAGAACAGAGAAAAGTTTTCTTCTTCCTTTTGGTATTAAAGCTTCCTTCTATTCTGTGCTTCAGTATTTCATTTGGCCTTAAACTCAAGTTCTGTCTCTGCATTTGGGGAAAGGAGATGATGAGAGGAAACATCTAAGGCAACACTAGAGGGCATCTCAGGAAGAAGAATAAACAAACATCCAAACTGAAATCTTTATATCCATCCTTTTCTGGAAATGGGTTTTTAGGATTCTTGAAGAATGACTAAACATTGTAGTTTTATGTTATAAAGTACCTTGAATAGCTGGGCTACATTTGGGTGTTTTATTTTGTATATGACAGGAGCTTCAAATAGGAGCATAGCAAAATCAGATTTTACATTAGAAAGAAATAGCTGCTAGGGGAGACGTTGGCGCGGTGGTAAACCCATATGGAGAGGTTCTGGGTTCACATCTGGGGGGCCTCCTAGGGATGCCAAGTATGATCAGAGGTGGGGTGGACTGCACAGCAGCAAGATCCTGTGGAGAGTTTTCTCTTTCTCTTACTTATGGAAGAAATAAATACGTTTTAGAGAAACATAGAGAGACTGCTGCTTATTATACAGAGGATAAGTTAGGATGAAGATGCCCAGCCCTGGCGATGCAGTCAGTGCAGCAAGCTTTACTGCAGTGCTGGAGGCCACATGACTGACGAGGGTTCAGATCCCCTTCTGTTCAGTTTGAAACACACAAGGTTTGTGTGTCCTTGCCCCAGATTCTGATGAGCTACCGGGCTGAGGAAGAGGGACTGTGAAATGATGAGACCCTGTCAAGGGTGCTTCTCCCCTCTCCCACTAATACAATCTCTATCATGAATATAATAAATATAAAGACCTTTTTTAAAAAAAAAAAAAAGATGAAGCTGCTATGATCCGGTTGGGACAAAGTAAGGAATCTGAATAGTATAGTCTAGGAAATAAATTATGATGATGAAAGCTAATGCAGTGATTATAGGAAGGATGTAAATATATTAGATATTTCTGTGGCAGAATTGTTAGACGTCGTTAGGGCAAATGACCTGCCAGCAGATTGTCTAGTGGTCAGGTTGAACAAAGGAGGCAGAGATCATCTGGACATGTTCAAGGTGCTGCAGAATATCTCATTGGAAATGCAGATCTACACGTAGGTTTCGGTAATTATTAGTAAAGGCATAACAGGGATTGTAATTTAGGAATTACCAGTATGTAGAAGCTGTTTTAAGTCATGAGAATAAATGAAAACACCTACCCAGGAAACATGCAGAACAGAAAGAGAAAAGACAAAATTTCTAGGAAAAGAACACCTCTTTAATAAAACTGGAAATAAAAAACTAGAAGAAAGTAATTGAACGAGAAGAAGGTAAAATGATGTAACAGAAGCCTAGGAAGGTAGGGTTTTAGAAGAAGATCCGTCAAGGTATCACATAATGTGGAGTGTTAAGTAGGATGAGGATAGGACCACGGATTAAATGGGCAATGTGAAAATCTTTGCTTTTGTGCAAAAGCTTTTAATTTATTTTATTTATTTATAGTTTGCTATGGGACACATATGCTTACCAGAGAGAGAGGGGAGAGAGAGAAATCACCTCCCAGGGTGATGGCCACACCACAGTCTCTTTTCCTCCATTCTTCTCCTGGGATTTTGGACACAGATGCATAGGCACCTGTTTTTCAATCCTTGAGGTCTGGGACTCAAACCATACAGTCAGTCATATGGAATCCAGCCACTAACCATCACACCACTTGCTGACCCTGCAAAAACTTTTTTTTAGTAGCCAGTGTGATTACAGCAAGAGACAGGTTGAAGTACATTAAGAAGTGAGGGCCAGGGGCCAGCAGATGGTGTGGTGGTTAAAGTGACTGGACTCCCATGTGACTGAGTGTGCTTCAGTTCCTGAACTGGTGGCTTAAAAATTGTGCTGGGCTAGTGTGTGTATGTGCCCCAAATCCTGAGAGGAGAGTGGAGAAGAAGGGATTTCAGTGCTTCTCTTTCTGTGTCTTTTTCTGGTGGGCACATGCACCCTATATTTATGAATGAATGAATGAATGAATGAATGAATGAATGAAAGAAAGAAAGAAAGAAAGAAAGAAAATAAGTGATGGTATGTGAATTAGTGAATATAAATCACTTTGGTTGGTGAACAAAATAGGAAAAAAGCTGTGACTTTAACAGGAAGACATATTTCTTTTGAGGTATAGAGAGGTTAGTCTGTCTACATTTTTGAATCAGATATTTGAACATGTTTGGAGGCTGGTTAAAAAGAGCCAGAGGAAGGGCCAGCAGATGATGGGTGGTTAAGGTGCTAGACACCCACGTGGATGGCTGCAGTTTGAGTTCCTGAGCCAGTGGCTTGGGAATCATGTGGACTGCATGTGGGTGTTCTCCCCAAATCCCAAGAGAATGGAGGAGAAGTGACCGTGGTGTTGCCCCCCCCGCCCCTCCTCCGGGGGCGGGGGGAGGGTGATTTCTCAGTTTCCCTCTCATCGTCTCTCTCATCTCTCTCCATTGAGCACACACACCCTATGGCAAAAACCTTAAAAAAAAAAAAACAACAAAAAGCCAGAGGAGGGCCTATCCCATGGCCTGGCGATTAAAGGAGCTGGATCCCATGTGACTGATTGGGATCTAGTGAAAAACATACCAGGCACATGTGCATGTATGCCCAAATTTGGATTGGGTGGAGAAAGGGAGGAGAAGGGATTGGGCCATGACCATCCCCAGTGGGGTGTGCTTTCTTTCTCTCCCTCTGTCTCTAGCAGGCACAGGTGACCCCTGGCAAATTAAAAAGAACCAGAGGGGACTGGATTATGGTACAGTGGTAAAATGATGCTCTGCAAGGGATCATATCATTTGATATGGAACACTGGAGAAAAATAAGACTTAGCCTTATTATTTCAATACCTAAGATTGAAAGGCATTATGAATGGAAGAAACAACATGAATATGAACGTACTTTGACAACTAATAATTTAATGTGATCGAAACTTTGGAATGTGTGGAAATTAATTTGGAACGATCAAGTTCAGATCCTAAAGAATCTTGAAATGTAGATACTTAGAGTAAGTGGAGGCCAGTCATGTTTTTTGAGCAAAGGTTGTGCTTCAGGGTAGTTAATTTGCCAGTATTGTGTCGGTTGGTTAAGAGAAGTGAAATGTCATCCGAGCAGGGGTGGCCATGCTACAGTCCCTTCTCTTTTTGGGATTTTGGGCACACACACTTGCCCAGAGTGTTTTTCAGGCCACCGGGTGGGATGGTTCCTGATTCTCGTCCAGACACCTCCCTGAGTATAGCAGATACACTCGCCCATGATCTGGGGCTGACTGAGAACAAGGTGGATTATAACGTCAAGACCTGGTTGGGGGTGCTGTACCTCTTTATCTCTTTTGCATAAAATTTTAACATAAAGTTAAAACAACAAGGAGCCAAAATAGGAGAAAGTAACTGTTTTCACTAGAGTGTGCGTGTGGTAGAATGGTAGGAGTAACCTTGCCCTAGAAAAAGAATAAAAAAAGTGATAGGAATGCAGTCAAGATGTTCTTTTATCCTTATTTTGAGAAAAGACCCTGTCTATGAAATGT